GAAACTACCAGCTGTTCCACGGGAGAAAGATGAGGCTTTCTGCTCCTGTAAAGATTTACAGCCTCGGAAACCCTGTACAGGGTCGCTATGGGTCAGAACTGACTCGAAGGCACTTAACAACAACAACATGCTTTGTCTATTCATTATGCAAATGTATAACATTTTGAAGAACTCCAATGTACTGAGCTGTCAGTTTGGTACCATTCTTGAAGAATATGAGTTTTATTTAAGAGTAAGCGTGGATATGTTGTGTGTTCTGCCATTTAGTAATTTCATAATACAGACCCATTCATGTAAGTGTTGTGTCTCACTTTGTTGTTAAGAAGGCTGCCTTTCATTGTGTTTTGATAATTGAGAGTGTATTGTAAGTGCCTTTAGGGGGGTGGGAATGTTGGAGGTTGTAGATCACTAACCTGCGAAACATTTCTAAAACCTCTACCAGGCCTAAAAAGTATCCAACTTCTCAAACGTTTTCTTTTCTTCTCCTACTTTTACCAAAATGGTACAGTTTTTAATTGCTTGAAAAGTTACAAGAGTAGAAATTAAAGTTTTAATAATGTCTGGGTTTTTTTTTTTAAATGTTTACTTTTTAAGAGTGATGTGAATAAAACTGTCTTAAGCCTTTTTCCTTCCACTTCACCACTCCAAATATAGATATAAAAAGAAAGGAAATATTTTTAAGTTACAGTTGTCAAAGATAATATAATAATAAAGCCTGATTGATTTAAATCCACTTTTTGGGAATTTGAATGCAAGACTAGCTGTTTGTGAAAGAATATAAGAAATCCCCTTTTCGAATGATGAGAGCAGTTTGAGAATTGTGGAACCAGTGTTAGGATATATGGCTCTTGAATTCCAGTCACTGATTTTTCTGTCCTCTCCATTTATGTAGAAACGATTGATGAATTACAAATAATTCTTATCTAGTCCTGGTGTGGGGCTGTAGGATAAGCGCCAGACTGGTAACCACAGGGCTGGCAGTTCAGAACCACCAGCTACTCCTTAAAAAACCCTATATCAGTATAAGTTGGAGCCATCTCAATGGCACTTAACAACAATAGTTAGTAAAACTATTTGAACAGGAACTATGTTGTATTATGCTGTTTGGTTAGATAGTATGTTGTGCATACCATATGTCTATAGTTATTTATTTCATAATCAGGTTTTTCTGAAATTCTTAAATGAGATCAAGGAATTGAGGACATCTGCATTTGTTTTAAGTTCTCAACAATAGTAATTTTGAGGTCTAATACATGTGTGTGGATAATTTTCAGAACCAGGCATTCTTATAAAGGACTACTTGCTCCTTTAAAAATACATTTGACATGTAACCTTACATGCTTATTCTTTAGGCTGTCATCTTTTGTTAACCCTATGATAGTATTAATAATAAAAACAGATAACAGCCCTTACATACATAACAAGTTTATCCTATGCTGTGGAATATACTGAGTGTTTTATATAATTATCTTATTCAAGAAAAATCATATTGATCCAAGATGTCACTTTATCCTCTCACAGCAGCTTAGTGAGTCCTTCTGACTGCTGAGCACATTGTACAGGAAGAACTGAAGTATAGTGGGCTGAAGTGAGGGAGCCAGGGTTCTATTTCAGGTGCTCCAATGCCAGTACTTTGCTTGGCTATTTTCGCACCATTGTTGTAAGAGGTGGGAGGAAGCCTCACAGGAAGTAATTATTGTACCAAGAGCTATCATCATAGCCTCTCCTCTCCTCTCACTGTACCCTGTTTAAAAGGTAACATTAATTATAGGAACCACTGCCAGCAGAGAGTAGAGACTTATAATTAGACCTGGGTCTTCAGCCTTTAGATTCTACTTATTCAAGACCCAGCTCAATTTCTGCTTCTTTCACAAAACCTGATTTAATTTCTTCCTATTTTTTCTTTTTCTGAATTTTCATGACAGTTGTGGTACTTGTACTTTATTTACCTTTGTTGCTTTACATGTTAGCATCTCTCCTGGCATTGTATTGTTTTAGAGTTGGACAGGGCCTTAAAGAAAATTCCATTTGTGTTTCGTAACTCATTGTCTACGTCTACGTTGAGTTTCTTGTACAGTGTCAGCTCATTCAGTGTTTGTTGAATGTCAGAAAACAGTTAATATTGCTGTTATCTCTATATTCATAATGTCAGTTTTTAAGTTCTTGTGGTTTTCATTCATGCTAGTATATTGGTATGGAGCCCTGGTGTGGCGCTGTGGGCTAATGCATCAGACTGCAAAGTCATTTGAACAGCAAGGTCAGTGGTTCAAACTCACCACCGGCTCCTTGTAAACCCTATACAGGGTCACTATGGGTCAGAATCAACTCAACGGCACTTAACAACTACAGTATATTGGTATAGTTGTAGAAACTGGTTGAATAGAACAGAAACAGATTTAGATATTTGAGGCAGGGTTAGAATGAATCTGAGATGGGGAAGACTTGAACAAATAGTTGAAATACAAAATTGAAAAACAAAGTTTGTAAATCATATATAAAATGTTAAATTTATAACATTTTTATTTAAGAGAATGAAACAGTACTTTAGAGTCCCTGCTATGTACCAGACACTCTGATGGGCATAAACATATCTTAATACTCACAATATGGTGGTGGTGGTGGTTATGTACCGTGGAGTCTGAACCGACCCATAGCAACCCTGTACAGGGTTGCCGAGGCTGTAAATCTTTACGGAAGCAGAAGGCCTCATCTTTCTCCCGTGGAACAGCCGGTAGTTTTGAACTACTGACCTTAAGGTTCGCTCACAATATAGGAACTCAATAATATGAACTGATGGCTTTGCAATGACATCGAACATTTTTCACTTACCCAGATACGGAGTCCTGGTGTGGCACTGGAGGATAAGCACTGGACTGCTAACCACAAGGTTGGTGGTTCAAACCTACTAGTCTCTCCTTGGAAACCCACCCTACACAAGGCTGCTATGAGTCAGAATCAACTCAACAGCACTTAACAACAACAATAATAATATAAAGAAAGGTCATATAAACCTTAGGGGAATCTAAGGAGTCCCTAGAAAAGTGACTTTTGCTTTTTTTTGTTTGTTTATTTTGAACAATTATATTGTTATTGTTAAGTGCCATTGTATTAGTTCTAAGTCATAGGGAACCCTGTATAGGATTTCCAAGATGCGATTGGTGGGTTTGCAACTCTGACCTTGCCGTTGGCAGTCCAATTTACCCTACAGCACCAGACCAGGACTCCGGAAATGTATAGGAATTATAATTTTTGCTGCTGAGTTTATTCATGTTTACTGTGACACATGTTCTTTTCTCCCAATTGTTGATAATCCAGGTAGAGATGAGTTAGGTTTAGCCTGTGGATACAAGGGCCCTTTGGCAGACTGACAGACTCTCCTTGGGTTGTGCATAACTTGATCTTGAGACCCACAAGCCTATGGGTATTTGATCCCCACAGTAGCCCTGTGACCAGAGGCCCAGAGCAAACTTGCTAAGTTAGGCTTTGTCTGATTCCTTACTATTAATAGACATTATATAACAGTGTGAGCACATTCAGTTTTTCTTTGACTCTAAATTTCTATGACATTGTATTTATTTATTCTTAGAGGAGAGTAACTTTTTGGATAATCTTAAAATTGTGTCCCTCTGTCTTTTGTTTTGTAGGCAATCTTTTATGGTAGCCAGTTTTGGTTATATATATATATATATATTTTTTTTTTTTTTTTTTTTTCCCTCAAAGTTCGATACTGTAAAGGAGAACTATTAAGACTTAAGCAAAAACCTTCAGGATGATATTCTAAGTGAACTCTTGTTTCAAATTTGAAGTCTGCTAGCCTTTGAGATATTTAATAATCTTATATATCCAGATTGATTCGGCATTCAGAGTAGATTTGAATGAAATGTTTAAAAAATATAAATAGATGCAGGTATCATACTAATAGACAACTTAGAGTGGGTTTAAAATGTAGCATAGAAAGTTTGTTTTTCTTTGTTATTTTAGGTTTTGATTTTGCCTTATGTGGTGACTTTTTTGTTTTGGGGGCAGAGCACATCCAAATGGAGACACCAGCATTTTAATTTCCGATGTCTTCTTTTTCTCATTTTCAGTGGTTGACCTCCTCTACTGGAGAGACATAAAGAAGACTGGAGTGGTGTTTGGTGCCAGCTTATTCCTGCTGCTTTCCTTGACAGTATTCAGCATTGTGAGTGTAACGGCCTACATTGCATTGGCCCTGCTCTCTGTGACTATCAGCTTTAGGATATATAAGGGTGTGATCCAAGCTATCCAGAAATCAGATGAAGGCCACCCATTCAGGTGAGATGTTTGAAAAACAAGACTCCTCATTTGCAATGCTTAGTATAAACTAGATTAGTATGGAGACATCTTTTAACTGTGTACAGCATTATAGGCATGATTTTATTATTATGTTTTTTTTTAATTGCTTAAAGGTAGTTGCAAACAAATTTTTGCTTAAAAGATTGTACTAGAAGTATTTGCTTTTGAAACTGCCTAAAGGTCATTTCTGTAGGATCAGCAATGGACTGCAACCACAAGGTTGGCAGTTCAAACACACCAGTTGCTCCTTGGAAACCATATACAAGGTTGCTGTGAGTTGGAACCAATGTGATAGCACCTACCAATAACAACTACAAAGGTCATATTAGAGGCTTATGATGGAGCACACTGGGTTTATGTAGTCCTTAACTTGACTCTACTACTTGTTAGGATTAATTGTTTCTTAGAATCTTACTATAATGGAAGTGGTGACTTTTTAACGTGGTTAAAGTAGGCGAATGAGGGTTATATTTTCTTTATTGCTTATGAATCAGACAGCAAACTGCAAGGTCAGCAGTTCAAACTACTAGCCATTCCACAGAAGAAAAATGCGGCTTTCTGCTCCTGCAAAGATTTACAGCCTTGGAAACCCTGTGCAGGGTCACAATGAGTTGTAACAGACTCCACGTTACTTAACAATAACAACAATATGCTAAGGAGCTCTGGTAGTGCAGTGGTTACGAATCGGGCTGCTAACCTCATGGTCAGCAGTTTGAAACTACCAGTTGTGCCACAGGAGTGGCGTAAAAATCTTTCTGCTCCCATAAGATTTGCAGCCTCAGAAATCTTATACAGGGTTGCTATGAGGTCAGAATCGACTCCACGGCGCATAACCACCAACTGCCAGTATGCTTTCTCTTACTAGAAATATCTTTTTTTCTAATGGCATGCTTTCCCATCATGCCTGTTTTTTCTTAAGATTCCTTCTTCTCTGTCAAGTGTCCGTTTCACATTTCCTGAGACATTACTTAAAATGCCTTTTCCTTTGAAGAGCTGCTCTGTTTTCGCCTCTCCCAGTCTCGTAGTCATCACCTCCCAATTCGTTTTACATGGATGCTCTGACATTATGCACCCAATCACTAATGGGACACACCTCACCTTGGGTCTTCTGCCTTCATCTCATTCTCAGCATGAATTTCCTCCACTTTTTTCTTAGATATAATTGATGCACTGTAAAATCCAGCCTTTTAAAGAGTAGAATTTATTATATTCTAGTAATTGTAGGATATAAGCACTGGTCGGCAATTCAAACCCAGGGTTGCTATGAGTTGAAACAGATTCGACAACATTTAACAATAACAAAGTACATTCACAGGGTTGTATAACCCTAACTGCTAATTCCAGAACATATTATTCATCCCCAAAAGAAATTCTGTCTATTAACAATCACTTTCTATGACACCCCCCCACCCCATGCACCTGGCAACCATTATCACACCATATATTTAAGTGAATTTCTCTCTCAAACGTGTCACCTTCTCTCAGTAACATAACTGTCATCCTGGTTTGGATATTATCTTTGCTTTTATCTCACATAAAAAGAAAGTCACTAAATTTCATTGTTTCTCATTACTTCCTCAGTTGAGACCAGGCCATGAACCAAATCCTGTCTTGTCACTTGCTTTGTAAATAAATTTTTTTTGGAACACAGCCACATTTATCCATTTATCAGAGTTAAATAGCTATGACAGAGATTGTATAGACTTCAAAACCTTAATAAAATATTTATTATCAGGTCCTTTACGGAAAGTCTGCCTGCCCCCAGTATAGATTCTGATTATATGGGATCCAGCTGATATCAGGTTGGCTTCTGGTTCCCTCAGATTACTTAAACTCTTACAGATGTTGTCAGATTGTTTTTTTTTTTTTTTATCACCCTCTTTTCATTTTTGTCATAGCATTTTTATGTAAAGAAGTTGTCTGTCCTTTGTGTCAATGCCTTTGCCTTTTCTCTCAATTGCCACTCAGGGATCTTGTGCCCATTTTCCCGCTGCCTCTCTTGGCTGCTCAGATGTCCTGATCTCTCCGGTTTCATTTTTTCTTTTGGTTCTCTGTTTGATTCAAGATCTAGCTCTTTGATGGCTTCCATAACACACACAAAACAATAAGAGAATTCCTTTTCTATTGCACTATGTCTTTAAAATATTCTCTAATTGTTTAATACCTGTAAGTATGTAACAGCGGTTTGGCAAGGTATGAATGAGTATATACCTACCTAGAGTACTATCCAGTTGATATTAATGGTAAATTGATTTTCAAACTTGAAGAGACCTACTAAATTATTTTGCTTCTTGAGAAGACTGGTGATTGGTTTCTATACCAGCTCCTTCCTGTATTTCTCTAAGCTACAGAAATAAAATTTTGCTTTGTTATGAGCAGATAAGAAGGTTTGGACTTTTTTTTGCTTGATATTAATAATGGTATTTTTAAGTTAATAGCATATATGTAATAGTGTACTACACCATTTGCCAATAAAGATATGTTTCTGGCCCTTAAAAAGTTTATAATCTAGTAGCAAGAATATTCACTTGACTATGTTACAAGGTTGGTTAGGTAAATGTTAAAAAAAAAAATACAACCTAAAATACCAAAGAAAATGTTCGAGACACAGGAGTGTAAAATTCCATTGGTGTAGACAGATAGGTAAGAGAGAATATCAGAAGAGGCTTTACATCTGAGGTGGCACCTTAGGGAGTTGTAGAAAAATAAGGTTAGAAAGATTTGGGAGGACTACTGGTTGAAAGGAGCTCTGGTAGCGTAGTGGTTACAAATCAGGCTGTGAACCTTAAGGTCAGAAGTTCAAAACTACCAGCTGTTCCGCAGGAGAAAGATGAGGCTTTCTGCTCCCGTAAAAATTTACAGCCTTGGAAACCCTGTATAGGGTTGCTATAAGTCAGAACTGACTCCACGGCACAACCACCACCACCACTGGTTGAAGAATCGGAACCATAGAATGAATCACAGATAAGGTTAGAAAGATTTGAGAGGAGAGAACACAGCACAGCACTTCCCATGAGGTTCTTCTCTACCAAGATAAAGTGGCTTCTTGGAAGCCATAGCTAATGAGAACTGTTCATTGGGTTCCTGCAGACTTGCTTCCTCCCGTGTCCCCATACAACTGTCTTATTAAATTGACCAATTCTAGTTTTCCCATTAGTTAAGTGTTAAGTGCCATTGAGTCAATTCCAACTCATAGCGATACAGTATAGGGTTTCCAAGGAGTGGCTGGTGAGTTTGAACCACTGACCTTGCAGTTGAAACCACCCTTGAGTGCTTTATCCCACAGCACCACACCAGGACTTCTCCACTAGTATAGAATATACTTTTGACATTCGTTTTATAGTCTGATGGACTGAGAAAGTATAGGATTTGGAAATGTATAGAAACCTTGTTATGCTTCATAATATCAGCTTAAAGAAAGATACCAAACACTGTTTATAGCCACTGTATTTCTAACTGCAAGGTTGGCAGTTCAAACCCACCAGCTGCTTCTCTCCAGGGTCACTATGAGATTGAGACAGAATTTACTTGATGGCATATAACAATAACGGCAACCGTTTGGTGAGGGCTTCTTTGAGCTTTACTCATTGACTCTTCAGCATTATTATCTCCATTGTAAATGAGGAAACAGAGGATTAGAGGGAAGACTAATTTTCCAAAGCTACAAAGCCAAGTATAACTCAACAGTCCTGGTGTGTGATACCATAATAAGACTTCTCATCACAAGTTTAGCAGTTCAAACCCACCAGCAACTCCTCAGAAACCCTAGACAGGGTCGCTATGAGTCAAAACCCACTTGACGGTACAGCCAAGTAAGAGGCAGAACGTGAGATTTCAAATTAGATCAGTCTGGCTTCAAAGTGTGTGCTTACCATGTGTGTGTATGAACTGTACATTGCTTGTTGACTTTCTATATTGTGTTTCATTTGAAAACAGTAGGCATCTGTAATTGCTGGCTGGCATTTAGGGGAAATCTCATCGGTCAGTGCTAAGTAGGATCTGTTTTGGTTTCTAGGGCATACTTGGAATCTGAAGTCGCCATATCTGAGGAGTTGGTTCAGAAATACAGTAATTCTGCTTTTGGCCATGTGAACTGCACAATAAAAGAACTCAGACGTCTCTTCTTAGTTGATGACTTAGTTGATTCTCTGAAGGTAAGTTTATTCGTTTCCACATTTTTAATATATACAAAATTTAAAACCAAAACTATGTATTTTGTTATATTCATATAAAAAAACCATAATGAAATCCCATTACTGCATTTCAGAATTCCAACTCTAACAATCACATATTTAGGGCAGAAGAATGTGGTATTCCTTTAGATTTATAATTTAAAGGAAAAAAAAAGATTTGTATTTCTGGAAAACATAAAGATTAAAAGTGAAGGGCATTTTGATTATAAGAAAAAAGGGTGTCTAATAAATAATAATACCGAAAGTGGTTTAATCTGCTTGGTTTTGTTTTAGACGCTAGGATTTTATTTCTTAGTTTGTTAAGTTGTTGACACACAAACCTAAGCCATTTCATATCTTGAGCTCTCATGTATTTCCAATTAACCTTCCATTAGTTGTCACTGGAAGGTTTTGTTTTTGTTGTTGTTTTTTTCCCTTTTCTTTTTTGGAACTTGCTCTACATAGTGTCTGTTACTTTCTCACTTTGCCAATTGGCTCTCCCTAAGTTCAACCAATTCCTAATAGGCCTGTGTCTTAAGCACACTAGAACTTCACTGATTTTCCATTGCATAGAATGTGCCATTTGTCTTCTTTCTATGTGCTCTTGCTTATGGATTCCTAATTGAAGCCTGTATAGAAATGTAGAAGAGCTGTAATTTTGTTTTTTCTCTTCTAAGAGATAGGCAGTACTTTGTAGTTGTCATGTAAGCCAAGGTTAACACATAGCAGTAGGATTGAACCTTTAGCCTAAATTAAACAATTGCTGAACTGGCCAGGATAGGTTTAAATGCTTAAAATGGTTTTAACAAACAATTACAAGCCCGTAGATGAAATATTCTTTTGCGCCATTAACGACTCTCATTTTATTTTGGCTTGGAACCTCAGTTACTTAATTCTAATTTAGAAACAAGTATTGTAGTTTCTTTATCATTTAGTATCTTGTACAGAGTAGCTGTACAAAGCAGTTGGCTTACTTTGTAGTGGCGCCTTGAACTGTTTTGATACCAATCATTCTAAAGAAAATGTGATTGTTACTTGGCATGCTGTATTAATTAGTTTCAAAAGAGAGGCAATAAAATATTTTGGTGTAAGTGAAATTGAACCTGATCTACATGAGTCCTGGTGTGGCTCTGCAGGATAATGCTCTGGACCGGTAGGTCAGTTTGAGTTACAAGGTTGGCAGTTTAAACCTACCAGGCACTCCTTGGAAACCCTATACAGGGTCACTATGAGTCGGAACTGACTTGATGGCACTTAACAACAGCAACATATGGGTCCTGGTATAGTACTCTAAGATAAGCACTGGACTTCAGGGTTGGTGGTTCAAACTCCCCAGCTGCTCTTTAGAAACCTTATTTAGGATTGCTATGAGTTGGAATCGACTCAACAACAACAATATGAATCCTAAAAAGAAACCACCTTGTATTAATTGAAGTGACTGCAGAGGTAGGAAGTGTGAAGACGCATGAGGAGAGGAGGAGGGAGGTACTAGTGCAATGTAGGATGGAGCGAAGTGGGAGAGAATTGCAGAGGCAGACTGCTCTTAAGGCAGTGAGAGTGTTCCAGAACAAAGGACCGTTTCTGAATTTAACTGTCAAAAATGGTGTGTGTGTGTGTGTGTGTGTGTGTGTGTGTGTGTGGAGGGGGGTTGGGGGGCGGGGAGTGCCTTCAAACTAAAAGTCATCATGAAGCTTGATAGGGAAGAGAGTGATTGTGTCATTGTTTTTCCAGACTCAATGAATACAGACGAAACTCTATGTCCATAATTTAATTTTTATTTATTTATTTATTTATTTTGAGAATGAAGGTATCTGTTTAAAAACAAAATAAAACAGTTGAGTCTTAGGATAATTTGTAAATGTATAAGTTTTTTACAATTTTGAGGGGCTTCTTTCCTGGGCATGGACTCCCTTACTTGTAGCCATAGCAACTGGTAGGATAAATCAAATTCTTACAAGAAATGGATTTTCCAATTTCAATAAAAATTTTTAGTTAATTTGACATTTCTAACATAACTGAATTGCTCTTTGGTTGTTTGATGATATTACAATCATTGCAATGAAACGAAATTCGATAGAATGAATAGCTTTTGTTTCCCCTATGTTAAACTATCACATAATAAAAACTTAACAAAAATATTTGTCATTAGACTTTTTTTTTAATGTTTTATTGTGAATTATATGATCGTTTACATGGGAGAACATTAGTTTTACATTCATTCTATCGTATATCATCTCATTGCCATGGTTCCAATCCCCTCCATGCAATCCTTCCCCCACCCCCCCCAAATCTTCAGCACACAGTCGCTCTCCCTCACTGGATCTAAAGTCCCCAGCTGCTCCATCGCTCCACGTTGTTTTTGTTTTTTTAAATACGTGGATTTAAAACCTGTTGGAAATTTTTCTAATAAATAGCTAAAGTTTCTATATGAATTTATGATCTTGATGACTAATGCTTTTTTGCTATGATAGAAGTCAACTGTAATTGAAATGACTTTGATTTTGACCTAGGAAAATGAAAACCATCTTAACCACAAGAAAGTACAGTGAAATTGTTATTTATAAATGCCTGTCGAGAAAATGGCTTCTATAAATGAATAGCTTTAAGCCAAAAATTTGAAAACCTTTTGCTATTGCCCTCTCTGCTCATGAATGTTTGGTGCCTCCAGATTTATTAAAATCCACAAACTTCTAGATTCTAGGTCATTTCTACTTGAAACTTCTCTTTCTCAGAAATTAATGAAAAGGATTGTGAACTTTTTTCTTAACTTTTTATTATGAATTGAGTGAAAGTTTTCAGAACAGATCATCAGTTTTACAATCAATAAATCACATACTTTGCTTCATTTCAATGGTTGGAATCCCCTCTATGGACCAACAGTTAACAGTATTCATCTCTGTTCACTTCAGGTGTTCCATTCCTCCTTCATCTTTCCAATGCTAACCTCACTCTTGTTGTATATTACCTGCCCCCCCACCCATGTTAACATGTGTCTATCTACCCTCTAGCCTATGAATAATTTTCCTTTCCCCTCCTCTCATAACCATTATAGATTATTACTTTTAAGAAAATTTTTTAACTTTTCACAACATTTATCAAATACAGTATTTGAACTTTTGTGATTGACTGAGTTCACTCGGCATCATGTCCTCCAGGTTCATCCATGCTGTGAGTTCCAAGAGTTATCTTTTTTTTTTTTTGGCTGAACATTGCATAGCTCTCCATTGTAATTGAGGCTATCTGCACCTGCATTTTATGTCTTGTAGATAGCATATTGAAGGATATTGTTTTCTTATCCATTATGCTCTCTCTGTCTCTTGACTAGTACATTTAATCCATTTACATTGAACTTCTCCATGGCTGTGAATTGACTGCTGTCTGTCAGTTTGCTGTGTGTTTTTGTGGTGCTGCTGGTTTCTTTGTTCCACATCATATTCTGCACTGAGTTCATTTTGTTTATGGGTTTTCATTTCTGCTGTATTATGTTTACTAAATCTTTCTGGTTGTTGTTTTTTTTTTTTATGTGCAGGTGTATTGTTTTTCTTTATGGTTACCCTATAATGTATTAATTTTTACCCATTTGAAACAGGCCATTATCTTGAAATCTACTTGACTTCTTTGCTATTTAGAAGTTCTGTATCTACACTATTTCATACTCTTTTTGCTTTGTAATTGACTTTATTTTACCTTGATATATCTGGTTCCCTATTTTTAGTATTGTAGGTTTGTTTTACTTTAAATATTCCTATTACTGAATTGAGTTGTGGGTGGTGTTGTCATATATAGTAATCTCAGGTTGGCGTCTGCTGTTGTTGGTTCTCAGTCCAAAGAGCACCCTTTTTAGCATTTTTAGTAAAGTTGGTGTGATCATTACAAATTTAATTTTTGTTTATCAGGAAACACCCAAATTTCGCCATTGTATTTGTGGGACAAGTTTGCCTGCATGATTTCTGCTAAGAAATCTGATCTGCTTTCAGGATTATTTCTTTGTCTTTGGTTTTGGAAAGTTTGGTCTTGGTGATTTTCTTTTGGAACCTATCCTGTTTGGAGTTCGTTCAGCTTCTTATGTTTATCTTCTCATCATTCATGATGTATAGGAAGTTTTCTTCCAACAACTCTGACAATTTTCTCTCTGCCCTTTTTTCTTGTTCTGTAATTCTGATCACCTCTAACTTGTTCCTCTCTTTTTGGAGTCCCACCTACTCTTAGGCTTTCTTTGGATTGTTTTTTTTAGCATACTAGTATCGAGAGATTCATTTTTAAGCTCATTAATTTGGGCTTCCATTGCTTTGAATCTGCTCTTTTGCCCTTTTAATGTCCCTTTCTGAAATCTTAGTATTAATCTTCTGGATTTCTAATTGCAGGTTTTATACTGTTCCTAATACTTCATTTATTATGTCTATCTGTTCTTTTGGTATTTTCCGGAATTCTTCCAAAGTTTATTTTGTGTTCTTGCTCTCCTCAATTTTTCTGTCAATTCTGTGAAAGGTACCTGAATGTTCTTTTGAATTCTTATTCAGTTATAGTTACCTTTTCTGGCTTTGCATCTTTGTCATTTGTTTGAGCCATGCTCTATTGTTTCTTGTTGTTAAGTGCCGTTGAGTCAGTTCCAACCCATAGCGACCCAGTGTCCAGGGTTTCCAAGGAGCAGCTGGTGAGCTTGAACCACTGGCATTGCAGTTCAAACGACTTTGCCAACGCATTGTTTCTTAGTGTGGACTAAAGTTGTCTCTTGTCTCCAGGGCATTGTGGGGTTCTTCTATTTGTTTTTTAATTGATGATTGTATGTCGAGGTGTTCTTAGGCTCTCACCAACTCTCTACTGTGGGTATTGGTAAGGAATGGAAACGTGTCTCTGTTCTTGTGCCTCAGTCTATGATAGATTTGGCTGTTGTTGACTTCTGTCTATTGTTGATCAGGTGCTATAGGAGCAGGTATTGTCTCTTCCCCAATGGGTAGAGCTGTTACGAGTGGTACGGTTGT